AAAAAAAAAGAAAGAAAAGATGCGTGCGGACTCATCGCCACGTCAGGCGCCGAAAATCCAAATCAGATGAATCCATTTGCATTAGTCGCTATCATAATTTTGAAGAAATTTAAGATCCAATTGACAATTAATATTAGTTTCATAATACTAAACGATTTTTAGGTTCTGTTTGTTTGGAAGTATTGATGAATTTGTTGCCCAAACGCAGGGATTGTCCAGCAGAACATGAAGGCTGATGGACCAACCAATCCCCATCTTTTGAAACCAAACACGTTTTGTTGTCTCTAAGCGCTTTTGGAATAATTTAATTGATGGGTCAGACAAAGGACTGCCATAATAGTGCCATTTACTGATGATTTTGGTGTAAAACATGACTTTAATCAATTGTAAAACTACTTTAGAAAAGGAGAGGAGAAAAACAAGAATAATGGAAATGATATTTAAGAATGGTTTTTTCAATTTGGATTGTAAAAAAAGGTACAATTAGGTTGTGAAAGTATCCAAAATTTTCATGAGTGTTTAAATATTTTCACTATAGGAAATTACATACAATTCGAACTGGAACAGATATTCTAATGATATTTATTCACAACGGTATTTGACGGTTTAATGATAATGCTAGTCCAAGTCTACTTAGATATATTTTCTTCGCATGCCCTTTTACATTCCAAAGAAGACAGCGTTCTTTGAAAGTTGGAGAAGTTTTATTAGGATCTCTTTATTTTTTTTTATTAGATAAATACAAATTGCATTCCTATGAGGTTTTTACATGATATATATAAGAATAGGGATTCACTTATACAAAAATTGTAGGCTAAAACCAACTTTTAACCCATTCACCTTATAAAATTGGTAGGTTTTAGTCTCTAACCTTATAATATGATATTTTTATCTCTTTACCTTACAAAATTGGTAGGTTTTAATCGCTTACCTTACAAAGTTGGTAAGTTTTAACCCTTCACCTTATAAAATTAGTAGGTTTTAGCCTCTCATCTTACAAAGTTGGTAAGTTTTAGTCTTTCACCTTATATTATGACATTTTTAGCCCCTTATCTGTACTAATTAAAGAAAATAGCCCTTATTTAACATCAGGTTATAATGTTCTATTAGTTCTGTTAGTTGGCTGTTAGCATCCGTTAGCATTCCGTTAGCATTCCGTTAGCATTCCTTTAATGGAACTAACAAATAAAATTGAACTTAAATTTCATATTTTTTATAACGGAATACTAACGGATATTAACAGTCAACTAACAGAACTAATAGAACATTATAACCTGATGTTAGGTGAGGGTTATTTTCTTTAATTCGTATCAATGAAGAGTTAAAAATATCATAATATAATGTAAAAAGTTAA